GCAAACCCATGGGTGCAGGCAGTGCCCAGGGGTGAGCTGTGCCCTCCCCAAATCCCGGCTCCCCAAGCACCAGTATGCAGCCAGAGCATGCCCAGAGTCCCAGGATGGCTGAGGCTGGCAGGGACCTCTGGGGCCCATCTTCCCCAACCCCTACCCAAGCAGGGACACCCAGAGCAGGCTGCCCGTGTCCACGTCCATGTGGCTTTTGAAGATCTCCAAGGAGAAGACCCCACAGCCTCTTTGGGCAGCCTATACCAGAGCTCGATCACCCACCCAGCACAGAAATGCTCCTGGTGTTCAGAGGGAACCTCCTCTGCTCCACTTTGTGCCCTTTGCCTCTTGTCCCGTCCCGGGGCACCACTGAAAAGAACCTGACCAACAGCAGGGAAGCCATAACTATTATAAATTCAGGATTTTTTCCATTAACAGTGTACACATTATTATTGTTGTTCCACATGGGAGTTCTTATCAGGATGCTATTGCGCTAGACGCTCACACAGAAATAAGCAAAGCTGACCCCACTTTTTCAAAATGCAAGGAAAAAAATGTTAAGAATTAAAGCTGTTCATGTCAAAAGAAGCTCAAAGGTTTAGATAAACTAATTTCCAAGAGTGCACACAGGTTTTTAGATGACAGAATAATTACCCATTACAGGTAATGTAGGCTGTCCAATGAAGATAATTAAAGCACATTAGGATTTGTATAGAAAGAGCAGATAACTGTTTTATAAACAGGCTCCATATGGCATTCACAAAATTCGAGCAGCTCTTGCTGCTAAATTGAAACTGAACAAAACAACATCAAACTATCCATGGTGGTGTGTTTTGATGCTTCATTCAGAGAAACAATTCATGAATACTTCCCCCTTATTTATAAATATAATAGCACTGCTATTAAATTGCTGTTTTTTTTTTTTTTTGCTTTGTTTTGTTCTGTTTTTGTAATATTAACTCCATTTTAAAAAATCCATTAAAAAAAAAAAAAAAAGAATAAATAACTTAAAGCTGGATTGCTCGTATAGCACTCTACATTTCCCCAAGATTTGGTCTTGCACATGGAGTAAAATGGTAAGGCTCTTTTTCTCAACCTCAACAGTTACTAAAATAACAAAGGTGGGATTATAAGCAAAACCAACTTTCAGCTTGATCCTGACCAACAAGTCTGCTCAAGAGCTGCTCACAATCTTTAGAATAAAGGCCAGTGCACACAGCTAATTTCCACTTTGTGCTCCCTAGCAGGTACGCTCATTCCCCACACATTTATGGACTTCAGAAAGGTAGTCCAAACTCCAGAAAGGTAGTGCCACCGGGAAGCTCAGTTCCTACCGACAACCCATTTCTTACTGCATCTGAGCCCTCCAGTGTTTCGTGATCCCAAGACCCAAATCTAACTTGCTGTGTCTCATGAACAACGCACACACACACATAAAGGAGTTAATCAAGTTATAACCCGGTGAGGTATAAAGAAGGAATACGTAATGCAGATGGGTTTTCACAGGATAATAAATAAATAAATAAATAAAAATCATATGGCAAAGATGAGGGGTCTAGTAAACTACAGGAACGCTCAGAGAGGTTTTTCATCCTGAAATAATGAAAGGTTAGCCTGGTGACCTGCTTGCTCTTGGTAGAGCCTTTCTCATGAAACTGTACGTATTAAAGAAGATAAACTCTCTTTCCTTGATCCGAGGATTTTAAAATTCACCATCAGGGGTTTTAGAGTAGCAGATGGTACATCTGTCCCTGACTCTCTTTGTTATTTTCCTGCCCTGTAAGAGCAACGTGACACTTCTGTAGTTACTAGAGCAATTAAAAATTTAATTTGGAAGAACTTTGCCATTGTGAGATTGTCTCCACTTGTCAAGAACTTCGTATCTTGAGTGTGAGAATAAATTCACAGTAAAACACGTTTCTTGAAATTCAGATTCTTCATGGTCACACAGTAAAACGATCCCTCTACCCTAACTAGCCACCTATTTTGAAATTAAGAGAACAAAGTTCATTTGGGGATAAATTAATGGGTGACAGCTGGGTGGATGCACATATGTAACCAAACCTCTCTCCTCTGCTTTTCCACGGTGCTTCACATCCGCACAGCGCCGTTCTGCAAAGTGACTGGATCTCACCTCCCTGCTGCCCCAGTGCCCCACGTGTGACTGCACACCCTGCATGCGAGCAACATGACAGGAATCATGCGTCATGCATTTGTCCGGAGCCATGCGGAGGTCATGGGCTTTGCAATCTGGGGAAACTGCTTTGTCCTGCCTTAAGGACAGCTGTGATTACGTGAAGACACACAGGTGGATATCAAAGGGATGCTGCGAGGGGTCATTCTGGGAACATTACTCGGAGCTGCAACAAACGAAGGGGCTCTGGCACAATTATTTAAAACCAAACCTCTTGCTAGAAGCAGAATCCTGGCAGTGCTCCAAGTACCTTTCCCGAGCACCTCTGAGCACCAGATGGAATTTTTCCAGCAATGCTACTGATTATGTATAACAGACAAAAGGCACAGAAGAGTCCGTTTCTAGTGAGTTTCTAGTGAGAAAGAGCTTCCTTTCCCCATACAGGAGTCCAAACCAGAGCCTGGAGAACAGAAAGCTCTTTCACCCTGCACGCATGCAGAATGGATGCATGGATGGTGTCTAGCCGGTCCTAGGCAAGTCGCTGTGGGACTGCAGTGGTTTCAAATAAAAATACTGTGATGGAGGTATGTTTATGGAAACATCAAATACAGAAAAGAAAGGCAATGTAAAACATACTTTGCTTTTTATAAGGCATATTTAGCATTTTATAAGGTATACTTTCCCAAGTGAGGAATGGAAAATTGCAAAGACATTGAAAGCATTCAGCCAGGCAGAGGCTGTGTTATTAAACCTCAGTTCAGTACAGCCACTCTACAGCACTGCTCACCGCCCTGTGCATTATGTGTGTGCCTGCTACTAGCAGAAAAAGATCTCAGGACAAGAACGATGCTGTCTTTTGGCATGAAAATTGCAGGGTTTATCTGTACTGCAGATGTAAATAATTTTCCTCTGCCATCTGCAGCAACCCTAACAGATTGTGCTTGAGTAGCGTCATTGAATGAATCATTTGCTGCTTTGTCCCTTGCCTTTCTGAATAAGCCCATTACGGTTCCTTGGCGGCTTACATCAGACTAACATCTTCCACACAGAAGGTTGGTGAGCAAAAGTGCAAAGGTGCACATGCCTGTTTCCTGCAATCTCCTGTCTCATAGCCTGTGCCTATTTCACAGCTTTCCTCTGCTTACACTACAAGAAGTTTTCAACTTTTCACTCTGAACCTTCCTTACTAGTTTAAGCCACACTACCTCTTACTTGCTACTTTCTTCACATCTGGAGAACTGCAACAGCCTTCTATAAAGTATTTGAAGACTATTATGCCTCTCCTTTATTCTTTTCTAGGCCTAGACTAATTGCAAATTTGCTCAAGTCCATTCTATTGCAATGCTCTGAACTTTTCCATTTCTCACAAAGAAGTGAGACCATCCATCATTTTCATGAGGCTTCCAAATAGCTAGTGATTATCATAAGAGGTAGATAGCGCACTGTAGTTTCCAAATCCATTATAAAGTGTCACCTTTTTCCAGCCTTACAAAAGCACACTGCCTATAGTACTTACTCAAGATATTGCTGAGCATGCATTCTTTGCTATCCAAATACATGCAGAAAGGCCCTTTTAATTCACAGAAGCAGAGAACAGAGAGCCTCTCTGATTTGAAAAGGGGTATTGAGGTTCCAATGAAGTCCATCATAATCTTGGTAGCAAAAGTTCAGTTTTTTACTGAAGAAAAATGAAAGAGTTTCACCATATCTCAGCACCTTAGTGGTTCTCAGCTCATTTTAGGTTACAACTGCTTAATGAGGCTTGGGAGCAATACTGATAATGATCCTGTTTATCTTATCAACTCAAAAGCCTGAGGCCACAAATAAGCCCCTATTGTATAAATCCATTAATAACTTCTGCTCTACAAAGTGTTCTGGCCTGCAGTATCTAAACATCTAGCTGCGTGCATCCAAAGTGATGTTCCCCGCAGCTGACTCACAAATTGAGCAAGCAGCTGCTGGTGATGGACAGTGCCTGGGATGGCAGGGCTCTAATCGGTGATGGCTTCTAGGTGGACTTGCACCAGGGAGTACTGGTCACGCTGGCCAGTAATGCCTAGCACTGGAAGACCAAAGGCTTTCACAAGAAAGCAGGCAGCATAATTATTTCAAAACAGTTACTATTCAGCAATGCAAGCAATGCATAAATCTCCAAATTCGGAATTAAAGCTGACAGATCCTACTCTACAACAACTAAAAATGCGAAATAAAATTTTAAAAACCATAAATACTTCCCAGAATATAAAGTAATGTTCATAATTTTTGTATCTGTAATTGAAATGTAATATCTTAGGTCAGCTCAGTAGGAGAACTTTGTTCAAGATTATTTCATCACAGACTCACATAATTTATTTACTTGTCCCTTGAGAATCTGAGTAGAGTAGAGGCCACTATTTTCCAATTTTTAAAAGTACTTTATTTGAGTTGAATCTTTTACATACATTTCTAAAATGTCTATCACTTCAGTTCCTTGGGAGGCTTTTGATAATATTCACAAGTCAAAAAATAACATTTTGCATTCCCCTTCCCACACCCCTATTTTTCGTGAATCCCTAAATGGGAATTACCATCTTGGGGAACTTTGTTGGGGGCAATTCCACACATATAAAGGTTAATGGTACAAAATATGTCTGAGAAACATTGAGCATCTTTGTGCTGTGTTTAATTGATCTGCATTCACTTTGAAGGATAAGATGTATAATTAGGAGAAAGCCAGAACCAAATTCTACTTTGCATGAAATATTTATACGAGGAAAGGTTGGACCTGGCGCTTACGGACATGGTACAGTGGGTGATGTTGGTAGTAGGGTGATGGTTGGACCAGGTATCTTGAAGGTCTTTTCCAACCCTAATGAGTCTATGATATGATTCTAAGTCAAACATGGCTTTGGGGGTTGTACAGCGATAGTGAACATGCACACCCAAAGCCTTTTTTATCATTTATTGCTGAACGCTGATACATATTCGTAGCCATGGACCTGATGAACGGTTTCCACATAGCAGATGGAGATGAATCAGAGGTGAAGATCAGTAAAACGGATGATTTTTTATTTTTTTTCAGTCTCTGGAGCTTCCCCTTACGACCTGTCAGACTTAAAAAATAGCAACAGGAAATTGAGTTTCACACAGGCACAAACACATTTCCTCGAGCCATCGTCAATCTCCAGCGGGGCAGACCTGGGCGGGCAAAAGGACGGCACAACGAAGGGCTTCTCACAGCAAACCCAACCTTCCTGTGATCCCGCAGCCCCCCCGCGTAGAAAAACCCAAACTCGGGGGCTCCCCACTTCGCCCTGAGGGGGCTCCGTGCCTCGCCACAGCCCCGGGGGCCGCCATTTGGGGGCGGCGGGCGGGAACGGCCGGGCGCCGCCATCGAGGCGCTCGGCGCTCGGCGCCATCGAGGCGCTCGGGGCTCGGCAGCGGGGCGGTGGCGGCCGTTGGTGCGTGAGGGGAGGAGGGCGGCGGCCATGGCGGCGGCGGAGCAGCGGTACCCGCGGAGCTCCATCGAGGATGACTTCAACTACGGCAGCAATGTGGCCTCGGCCAGCGTCCACATCCGCATGGGTAGGGGCTGGGGACGAGGAAGGGCCCCCCCTGCCCTGCCCGTGCGGTCCCTGGTTCCCCGGGGACTCATTTTGGCGTTTCTGTGGGGTGTGGGGGGGGTGGGTGTAGGTCTGCTTACCAGGGGGGTGAAACCCTACAGCGATGCGTTTTGAAGCTCAAATCAGACTGGTAAAAAGTGTGCGTGTTAAAACTGGAGTCTGTAATTAAATACAGTAGCTTAACCCGGAAATTGAGGGGGGTTAATTTCTTCTGAGGGGTGTTTTCAGGTGTTGTCTCCTCAGCTTCAGCGCCTGGGTGCTGTCAGGCCATAGCTGTGGCCTTGAAATGCTGCTTTGCTGTTCGCATTCAGGTCTTAAATACGTTGGATACTCCTATATTAAATGTTTTCATCGCTACTACTTGCTGAAGTAGGTAGAGCATTGTAGTATACACCTTAGAATAAAAACAGTGTACGCAGCGAATTTTTTAGTAGACATTTCTGATAAGCAGGAGATCTCTCTCTATTAAAATACAATTTTATCTTGTTTGGAAATTAAAAGATGCCCTAGCAAGTATGAAAGCGGTCTTGCCCTTAGCAAAACTGCTGACGCGTTCAGTAATGTGGGGAGAAGGGCAGGCCAGCTAGCAGGCTACCTCTGTGTATGTTCAGTGTGCTACAGCAAAGTAGGGTCTGGTCCCTCATAGCTTACAAATATATTTAATTTTGCCTGCTGCAGAAGCACTGCTGAGCTTAATTTAGTGTCTCTTAGCATGTGCTCTGAAATTCGTTTAATCTGTGTTGTTAAGGCTTGACTGATTCTCGCTGTAAACCTATTCTTAGTTGCAGAGCATTTTACTTAATAGACTTGGTCTCCTTCCATTTAGAGTGGGACATATGTGTTATGTCCCATATCATAGTGTCGTGAACCACTCTCTTATTCATGAATTAGGAAACCTGTTAGCTTAATTGAGAAATTTCTTGTAGTAGCTTATATCTGTAGGTATCCATCTAGTACAGCACAAGTCACAAATGATAAATTATGTCTAACATGACAAAAGGTCAATTAAATCAATATTACTGTAAAGGTTTAGCTGTTTAAAAATACTTACAGCTCTTTTTGTCTCCACACAACCTCCAAGCTTATCGTTTTTCATTTACATCCATTAGATACCAGGAATGTGATGAAGGATGCATACTTTTAGTATTTTCATAGTGAAAATAGAGATTGGATGTAGTTATAAAAGCAGTCTGAAATAAATCCTTCCTAAATGTTTTTTTATTATTATTTCTTTTTGTCATCATTGTTGCTGTCTATATAACTATGTGCAAGAAAAAGTGTAATCTTGCTGTAATACTGTATTGGTGTTTTAAGGAAAAACAGCTTATTACTATTTTCTTACGTGTTTTTTCACTGAATAAAGAATTTCTAATAGTTCCATATCAAACAGAAAATTTGTATCTGATTTACTGTTGAACTTTATAAGTGTAAGTGAAAGTTGATTATGTTTTTATTTTCTTTCTTTTAGCTTTTCTGCGGAAAGTCTACAGCATTCTTTCCATTCAAGTTCTTTTGACCACGGTCACATCTGCAATTTTTCTGTACTCAACTGGAGTACAGGCATTTGTTCATGAAAGGTAAATACTAAAATGAAATCACAGTGTGTATCAGTGTGTTTAGTTTATGTAGTTGCTCAGGAGCACTCCTGTATGCCTGATCACACAGTGTTGTGATTCTATAATAGAAAATTTGTAACCTGATTATGGTATAACTTTTCTTCTGACATTTTTCTCTGTAGTTTATTATTAAAATGTATTTCAACTGCTGTTATTAAAAGTTATTTTAATTAGTACGTTAGTAATAGTGTTTATTTGCATTATGAAAAGCTATATATTAGTGTGGAACATCTGAATTATTGATATTTCTTGTTTTATGGTCTAAATATCTGCTCTTAGAATCTATTTGGAATGTTGTTGTTTATATGTATTAGTTCCAAAAAGCTGAATCATTTCTTAATCCTCTCGCTCCTCCCCCACTCTTTGGTGTGTGTGTTTTTTTGTTTGTTTGTTTGTTTGTTTCTTTGTCTCCTGAAAATTAGTCTTTTAAAATTCCTGTGGGTTTAGTTTTTTGCCTCATAATTTTCATGAGAAAAAAAACAAATCTCAAAATCAAAGTATGGTAAAAAATAGGAGAAAAGAGTAACTGGGGGAAGGAAGAAAGCACTGAGTCCAGTTTCTGTTTTCTTCCAAGTGCACTTGCAAGCTTTGCTTTTACTTTCACTTTATAGCCCTAATAAAAAAGGAGGATCTAGTACTATATGAGTTCCTGTATAAGCTGTATTATATACAGCAGAGGTTGTAAGACTACAGTTTTATAATTATATCTGTTTTTTTTAAATCATCCTGCTCAGTTATACCTGTTGTGATTTTGTGTTTGATTTTAGTCTAGTTTTTGCTAGGAGGGCTTCTTGAATGATTTAATTATAGCTATATTTGCCAGTCAGTCCTAGTTTTCTTTGGCATGGTTAGTGCTCATGTTTATTGGATTCATGTGCTTAATTAAAAAAAAAAAACCTACCAAATAAATAAATAAATAAATAAAACAATTCCCTGGAATTCTTAATATGCAAAATATTACATATACTTTAAAACTGTTAGTTGAGTTCAGATAGATTTTTCTGTTCATACACTTGATGAATTCCTGGGCAATCTATAGCTTCAGCATGAAAAAACTATCGTTACTTGTGGCCGTACTATTTTTAACTAATTATGGTGATACGTTTTAGAACAGTTTTATTGTAAAACTTGCTTTACATTTACTTTGGATTTATGGAGCAGCATGCTTGTGTAGGTGATCACTTTAAAAGTTTGTTTTATATAAACTGTTTTTAATGTCTACCAAGTATTTTATCTTAATTTTGATGACCTTTTTTTTTTTTTTTTAATGAAACTTTACAGGCCTGCCTTGCTTTTGATATCTGTATTTGGATCTTTGGCTATAATCTTAGCACTGACCCTCTACAGACACCAGCATCCTGTTAATTTATACCTACTTTTTGGATTTGTAAGTATTTAAACATTTAATTTTAATAGCCCTTAGAATATCTTCGATTTTGATGAACTCCTTAAATCAAGCTAGTAGTAGCTAATTTTTCTTGTATTCCTTGGAAGATAACTCAAACCTTTATGAGTATATAGGGTATTTTTGGAGGTTCTATTCACAGGTTGTTTCTAGATAGCCTCCAGTTCAGATTTCTTCTACCACATTTTCGGGAAGAACATTAGAGCTTGAAATCAGATTGAGCAAGCTTTTTTTCTTTTGTTCCCCTTATTTTTTTACGTCTATGTATGTATGTGTGTGTATGTTATGTGTATGTATATTTTTGTTCTGTTGTTAGTTCTGTGCAACTGCTCAGTAGGAGAGAAGGGGAGCATTCCTGTTGCCATATTTGTTTAGTGGACAACCTCGAGGACAGGACGAAATATAACCAGCCATATGTGTTTATTTCATTAATTGTTTTCTGTTTGATGCTAAATTCTTAAAATGTCTCCAACACAGGAAAGTCAAACAACACTATCCTCAAATTTCAGTCTCCTGATGTTGCAAAGCTGTAGATGTGGGCTAACTTGCTCCTGGGTATTTTGGACTATGTAGCAAATTAGTCTGATGAAAGGAAGTCACATCAGCACCATCAGAATGCGATGCTTTAGAAGCTGCCTAAGTTGTATTTGTCATAAAGTGGGAAGATAGAACCCACCCTTACTTACAAAGCAAAACTTTTAATTGTTACAGGGTTGTATTCTGAGTCACTGCTGTCTTTCAGGACAGAAAGTAACAGGGAGTAAAGTAATAGTTTCACCACATGTGGTGTGGCAGTTTATGGCATGACAGTTTTAAGTATTGCATTGTGTAGGAATAGAAGGATTAAAAACTGCATGTGATAAATTGGCTTAAAAAAAATATGGGTTAAACTCGCTGTTATTTTGATATGATCTCTTGGTTCATGCCATAGATAGTTCTCTTGTTTCCTTAAATTTTCTTAAATTCATATTACCTTTTTTTTGACCCAGACATCAATAGTACATTTGATTTTATCTTAGCTTTATGAGTGGCAGACTGGGGAGAGGAATAAGTTGACACAGACACTTAGCTGTCTAATAAGATATTAAGAGTGTTCAGTGAAAGTATTTCAAATATTGAAAAGTGTACAGAAAGCTGGAAACAGATCATTTCTAATAGCAGGTCTGAGAAATGTTACAGCCCTGTTGAGCTGTTTGTAAGAACTGTGATAAGATCACTGTGTTCTCTGAGTAGAAGACCTAAATGGCAGTTTTCTGTAGTGGCTGTCTGTCATTCATTTTCACTTTATGTTGCGTTATTTTTATGTATCACAGCAACGTCCAACACACGATGACAGAACGATTGCCATTTTCTTGGTGGAAATTAAGCACGTTATAATGTATAAAAATTTAACTGGAGAGCTAACGTAACACATATGGGGTTTACGTTACATAATGGATCTTATTACATGTGAAGTCTCCAAGTGTTTTGTTTTTTTTATCATTGTGATTATTTGTTTTTACTTTTTGTAGACCCTGCTGGAAGCACTGACAGTTGCTATTACAGGTAAATGATAGCCAACCTATTTTCTGGTTCCTTAAATGAATTGAATAATGAATCCAATATGTTTTACTAATTGCCATCTGAGATTCCTAAATGAGTTATTAAGATGATTAACAATTCCGAATGATAATGAGTTTAGTAAAAACGTGGGGAATCAAGAGAGGAAGCTGGAGTCTTGTCCAGGAGTGAAATTGTATAAACCTGAAGTGAGCTGTGCCATCCATTCTTTTGGAACAGCTAGCAGTGCTCATTCCTGGAAGGCACCTCTCAGCAGAGCTGATCTGCAAGTAAAATGTCCTCATCTCCTCCTTCGTCCTCTGAGGGAACTGCTTTGAGTTTGGGGAGTTTTGTACTTTGTTCTCAGGGTGGTATGCAGAGAAGTTGTGCTATCACCTTGCACCATAGCTTCCATCGTAAGCTGAAACCTCTTCAGTGTGGTTTCAGGTCTCCTGCAGACAAAACAAAAACAAAAGTCCAAAAAAAGTCATTTGTGGAAATGAGGTTAAAGAGGAAGTCAGGTAGAAAAAAGGCTCCACCCACTTATATTTTCCTTCCTGCACCCTAATCAAAAAGTTCTAACACATCAAGGCATAAAATAGCTCACTTTTTATTTTTTCCTCTTTTTTTTTTTTTTTCTGTGAGTATGGAAGATCTGTTCTTATCTCTATTTAAGAAGCTACAAATATTCCATAAACGTCAAACTTAGTCCAAAGGTCTGTGTAATATATGATTGTGATCTTGAAGTGCAAAGACAAGTTCAGGCATAATTTGCCTTTTTTGCTAACAACTCAAATTTTTTCTTGTCTGTGAACATTTAAATCTAATTTCCACAACAGGTAACTGAGCAAATACATGGGATAGTGTTCTTTAAGTGACAGTTTGCTTTTTCGGTTTATAGTGAGTTTCTACGATGTGTCCATCGTCTTGCAAGCCTTTATTCTCACTACTGCTGTATTTCTTGGACTGACTGCATATACCTTGCAGTCGAAGAGAGACTTCAGCAAATTCGGAGCGGGGTATGTTGTCTTATCTATGACTTTTGTTTTGTTAAGCTATTTTTTTTTAATTTTTAAAGCAAGCTTTGCAGATATAACAATGAATACAGGTCAATAGAAGCTAACCCGCTGCAAGTGAATGGTGAGGGCATTGTTTATTTTAAGTTACTGATTTTATGCAGTTCTGCTCTCTTGGTAAGAAATTATTTTCAGCATAGCGCTCCTTATTGCGATAATGATTCTTATAACCATATTACACTAGTTTATCTGGATTTTTCAGTGAGACTGAGCTGTTTCAAATATAACAGTAAATTTAGGATGTAACTTTTGACAGCTCTATAAAAGCAAATTTTACCGTTGATGCCAGCAAACAGTTGGTATCTAAGAACTATGATGTTTATTTACTGAGTGTATTGTGGGGAGGTTTTATACAAAGAGAGATTTAGAGACTTTAAGTAAATTTAAAAGAAAAGAAACTGTTAGCACTCACAGCTTAATTTTTATTTTATTATTTTTTTCAGGCTCTTCGCTTGCTTGTGGATTTTAATCTTCTCAGGTTTCTTGAGGGTAAGATACCTGACGTTCAAGGTCAAAACATATTTTTTCATGTAAATTGTGTATTAACTTCGAATCCAACTAAAACATTTTGAATACTCTGAAATATCCTAATAAAAAAAAGTCCTGCCTGGGTCCATTACTGTTGTAGATTATGTTTGTAATCTTTTAACCATTCATTTCCAGTTCAGATTTTTGTTGGATGCTGTTCTTGCTAGTGTGATAGTGGTGTCTGAACTGACTGACAAGAGTGCTGTCAGCTGAGGTGCACTACTTGTCTGACAGAATGGGGAGGAGACTTCTGTTTTCATCAGATATTTTTTTGTTTAGTTTGTCTTCTGGTGTTACTGTTTTGGAGACCAGAGCTTGTTTTCTCTTAAGAGAAGACACTTTTTTCTTAGTTAAGAGATTGTATGACTGGGATGTACATGCAATAAGAATGTTGAAGAGTCGTTGTAGTATTGTATTTGTATGTATAAAGCAGTAAAAAGGCAGTAGGTATCCATGTTTTACGTTACAGCATCTCTTTGTGCAGAGATTTTAATATTAAGAAGAAAATTAAATTTACATTTTTTTTCTCTTTCATTTGCCTCCAGCTGTTTTTCTACAGTGAGACGATAGAGTTGGTGTTTGCTGCTGCCGGAGCACTTCTCTTCTGTGGATTTATAATTTACGACACTCATTTGCTGATGCACAAATTATCCCCCGAAGAGTACATACTGGCTGCGATCAATCTCTACTTGGACATCATCAATCTGTTCCTACACCTGCTGCGTTTACTGGAGGCATTTAATAAAAAATAATCAGAAGCAGCGAGGTTGATAATCACACGTATGAAGTTCAGTACCTAAATAGCGTTGGCTTGGATGATCTACAAAGAGACTGAATCTCTGTCGCTCTGTCATTCCATGAGTATTGATCCCTCTTTTTCGGGGGGCAGGGCTTTCCATGTTGCTGAAGTTCTTGTCTAGAACATGTATTTTATTTAGTTAACGTGGTGTAGCTGTTTCAGTCACTTTTTAAATTACTTAATTTGCACTCAGTGTAATTCGTTATTGAGTTGTTTGCCAATTTCTGATTGTTCCAGAGGACGCTGTTAGAATGCCTCTGTCTGCTGTTGTGTAGCTGCTGGGAATGTTTGCTTTTGGGATCACAAGTGGAAAGCATACAGGCAGCCCCAGTTTATGGGTGTGCAATGTGTTGTTAAGTTAAAACTTGTTCTGGTTTTTGTGTGGTGGAGGGGTGGGCTGGCCGTGGGGGGAATGTTCTGTCAGATTGTTACACGAGCTGGCGGGGGATGAAGACGAAGGGGTTCGTGGTGTATTAAGGATTATTTATTGCTTGTCTTTGCGTGTTTGGGGCCATTTGAAGGCAGCCGCTGGCGCTTTGTGTCCGTTCCCCAATAAACTCGGCAGCCCGCAGCCTGCTTTTTGTGGTGCCCCTGCGCTCGGAGACTTACGGGAGCACCCGCGGGGGGGAGGTCCACGTGATGCTCCTCCGGGGCGCCCCGCCCCGCGCCTGCGCAGTCGGCGGGAGCGGCCTAGCGCGAGGGTGGGCAGCGGCCTCGTGCGCGGCTGAGGTGAGCGGTGGGGGGGGGGGGGGAGGGGGCGGCCGTTGGGACCGTTACGGCCGTTGGTGGGGGGTGGGGGGGCGGCAGCGGGGCGCTAACGGCGCCCTCTTCCCTCCCCTCAGCCATGGCGAAGAGCCTGCGGAGCAAGTGGCGGAGGAAGATGCGGGCGGAGAAGAGGAAGAAGAACGCGCCCAAGGAGCTGGAGAGGCTGAAGAGCCTCCTGCGGGCCGACGCCGACGCCGTGATGGAGGAGGTGAAGGAGGTGGCGGCCGTGCTGCCCCCCGCCGAGCTCCGCCAGCAGCAGGGTGAGACGGGGACCGGGACACGCGGCACGGGCACGGCCCGGCCTCCACAGCCGCCCTCCTTCCCCCTTCCTGCCCCGCCTGCTGGTATCCTGCAAGCAGCCTGATGTACCGGGAGCTTTCTGCTGCTACTCCTCTGCTTTCCACCGCCGTCATCAGTTCTGCTCGGAGTTCTCGGCCTGGAAAGCCAAATCTCTCTCCTCCAAAGCCTAAATTCGCTATTAAGTCAATGGATCTGCTCATTGGCAACGTTAGCTTCTTTCTGCATTGCATCTAGTCGCTTGTGGAGCTGGCTTAATAGCATCTGATTTAATTTAAAGTTCTTCAGAGAGATCCCTTTGCAAAAGCATTAAGCAAGCAAGGATTCCTTGGCAGTTTATTCCAATCACAGCATCATCTTTGCTGTTAAGCTCGAGATAGGACATAACTTCCTTTGCAGTTTAAGGATGTTAAAAAAAACATATAAAGCTGGAGCTAGAACTATTTTGTAGATACCTTACCATAAGTAGTGATTTATTAGTTTTAAATATATTGTGCCCTGGTATGGGTAACAAGGACCCTGTTTTTTTAATGCTGGTAATACATTACACGTGGTGCAGGAGTGCGTGACATTAGCCACCTACAGGTAATTCCATCTTCCTGTCCATTCCTTGAAAAGGATGTAATCTTTAAATAATTCAGGAAATGGAAACAAAGGTTTTAAGTAGCTGTGTCTTGGACAGGAGTCAGAAAGACACAACCTCTTTCCAAAACTGCACTCCAGACTAAATCATAGCCCTTTTTTCTTTTCCAGTTTATGCTGTGTAAGCTGTTACGAAGTTGCCAATATAAGCTTTTTATGTGGGATGCAGAAGTCTCTTGAGACAGCACAGTAGGGATTTGAAATAATAGTAGTTATGACTGTCAGTCACACAGGCAGTTTTGTCAGTGCTTCAGGGATTAGGAAAGACAGAGAAAGATCACGAATTTGAACAGCAGAGCCTATAAACTGTTACAAATGGAAATGGAGGCTGTATAAAACATAATTACCTGGTTAAGGGTAGAATCTAGTATGATTTGTAGTTTTTTTCTGTGGTTCTCATTTGTCCTGTAAACCAGCTGTAAAAGTTGTTCCTTACAATGGTTAGGATTGAATTTTCAAAATGATTTGGAATGTCATCAGCTCGCTGGTGCTGAAGCTGCAGGAAACATTGCTGTCTTAAACCTAGTTTCTGAATCAAGTGCCTGGTTATGTCATTCCTGCACCCCCTTCCGAATCTGCTGGCAACTTTTATATGCAGTGGCTAATTTCACACAGCATCTGCAGAGAGGTAGCAGCCTCAGAAATAGTTAGCTGTAAGTTTTGTGAAAATAATGCTATCTTCGAGAGGACTCTTCAGCACAAACTGTTTATGGACACTAAGAAATTCACGTTTTTGCAAAATGTTATGAAGGACCGAAGTGTAAGGTTTAATCTAGAATTTAAACTTCCCATAGATAAGCAACAGGTGAATTATTTTCCAGGCTTAGAAAGTATGTAGATGTATTAGGGATATCCTCCTGTGTTACCTTAAGGTATTTCTCACAACATACTACAAAATATTTTTTCCCCCAGTTTTTTTTGTTAGGAAAAAATAATGGAAGGTCTGGCTAGCCTTCAGTCAAAAGCAGTTTTGTAGATGTTCTTAAAACTTTATGGGCATGCACAGATTTTTCAACATAATCATACCCATTGAGTCTGCTGCAATTAACTGTTTTTATAGTTTTTTGTTTTTTTTTTTTCTTTGTCCTTTTCTTTATCTTTTCTCTTTTTAATCTTTTTGGTAAGTTTTCTTTACATCCTCAGACCACTTTACTGTTCAGTAACTTTCCTCCTCTTACTGATTCCTACAGCATCCTTGGGATTGCAAAGTGACGAAAATGTCACATTACATAAACAACCAATACTCTGTCCAGGAGTATTTCTTCATTTAGTTAATGTTGCAGCAGACATTTATTATGGAAGTGCCATTTTGCAGTTACAAGCCCGTTCATGTCACAGATTAACCTTAATAGTATGACAGAACAGGAATCCAGAGAAGAAACTTAAGTAGAGTTGTGTTCTATGTTTTTCCTTTATCTGTTTTGTATTTAGGGGTGGATTAACTTTAAAAGAAATCCATGAACGGTACCCTAATTACAGGTAAAATTACAAATGAATTGGTTGAAAGCAAAGTGATTTCATAGAAACCAGTGTGTATGCAACCTAGTTTGTAACTTTGTGCTGTTATTTTGCTCTGATTGTTGCTCTGTTTGGGAAGCTTGGCCATCAAATAGCGCTGGCTTATTTCTTCAGCAGATTTTTGCAAGGTATGACTTGTGCTGTGCTGCTTGGTGCTATGAATCCATTCTTTTGCATGTTATTACTAGAAGAAAAAACCTGATGCTGTAGCATCACACCTGAACCGCCATCTGATGCAGCAGTTTATATGAGCACCACCTGAACTGCCAACTAATAGTTTGTTTGGTTCTGCATTCTTCAGAACCTTCCTTTCCTCCATGTTTTAGCTCTTGCTCCCAACATCTGGAGCTTTGAGCTGGGACAGAGCAGCTCTTCCGTGGCATTTTCAGAGCAGCAGTGTTCAGAAGCCCTTGTGTTTCTCTGATGTCTCAGGACTTCTCTGGAGCTGGGACTTTCTGGCTTGCTCACCCTTTGCAGGCAGTAATAAGTTTGCCCCCCGTCCCCTCCTTGTAGCCTTGTCTCCCTAAAACAGCCAGTTCTTGCGGTGTTAGCTAGGTGAGGGTGCTGTTCTTAGGAGTGACCACGTCACAGGCAGTCTTCCTGATCCTAGAGATTAGTCCTCTCTGCCTCTTAATTGTATTGAACTTAATCCTATGCTCACTTTTTGAGGCAAATGTATCATTGCTGGCTCATACGTTATACCTTCACCACATTTCTCAGAGATTTTTCTCTTTATTCTTCTCTTTACCTGTCTTCATCTTCCACTCAATTTAACATTTAGAACTTTCTTACATCTTAAACATTACATCATAAAAAGTGTTTAATTGTACATATGTTTCAGTAAGCCTATGGCTTCCTGTATGCTTGCAGCTTTTGATGGAGACCACACACAATGTTTTTAGACACAGTGTTGGAACAGATGGCAGACTAAAGAATAAGGTGCTTTGCCCAGACATAGGCCTTTAGGGAAAATTCTTCATATTTACTATCAGCTGTTGAAATTCTTGGGTTGCTGTTGTATTGGCTTGGAAACCACTTTCAATGTACAAAGCCTTCATCTCTCTGTCCACAAATACTGTTGTGTATAGAGATCTTTTTATCATGTTTGTGAATCTAGTAACAAAATCGCTTCTATGAAACTGATTCATGTATTTTACTCACTATAAATTCCTTTCTTTTCCAGATGACTGCAAAATGGACATAGGTAATAAACGAAACAAAAAAACTTTCCTAGATGAGCATGGACAGTACCCAGTATGGATGCATTCCAGGCAGAAAAAGAAGCTTAGGGCACAGCGCTTAAAAGAGAAAAAGAAATCAAAGTTGGCCAAAGGCCGAGCCCGGTAGACTTGAAGAACTTTGTAAGATCATGAGTATTTTACTTTCCATAATAAATATCCTAAACAAGTACACGATGCTTCTGTATTTGGCCACCGAGTATGATTTATTTTGTTGCATGAACCTTTGAAGAGACTGCTGGGCCTGCAAATGATGAAAGCAATGCAAAAAGCAAGTGCCTTTGAATAGACTTAATGTTTGGTTATATGTTTTCTTGGGGAGGGGGGAGGGGGTGGGTGTCATCTTTTATTTTATGGATGCTATAAAAAAAAAAAAAAAGCTGTAAATGGTCTTGAACTGTTGTCAATGTAATTTTTTCTATTAGTAAATTTTACCAAAGAATTCTGTAAGCTCACTGTATCCTTTAAGTTCTGTAGAATAACTTCTGTCATGCTGATCTGTGTTGCTTTAAACATCTGGTGATCAATGAAAACAGCCTCTTAATATGTAACTTAAAAGAGATTACACACTGAAGTCAACACCAAAGCTTCATGAAACTTTCTTTTTAAAGTAAAAATCAAGACAAAGTGTTGGCATGACATTTTTTTAAAAAATCACAAAGAGAAAGTTGTTGAAACAAAGTTTTTCACTATGCAACTGAAATACAGTAGGAGCTAAGTAATTGAAAGTAAAACTGTTTGATTCGTTTCTCGTTAATCTGAGTGAATGCAAACGCACAGACTGAGGAAGAAGATCTAAAACATTTTCCAAGTTTTATTAAAGTAAATGAGGATTTATTTTTCTGCATGTATTTTCAGTAGCTTTATATTTCTCTTAAAATGGCAGTAATCTATCATGCTTTACAATGTGGGCATAGAATAAAATATTGCAGGATTGCGTAACAGATGCCATTTATATGTCATTAGCTACAGTTGGTTGCATATTACTTGGCAATAACATGTGATGACAGATGCAAGAATTAGTTGCCCAGAAAGCCCGTGTTTTTAAAATGTCTCTCATTTCAAGGATGGAAGTAATTACAGTACCAGTCTTGCTGTGTATTGCCTGTTGAAGTACCCTGCATTGATGCAGAGCATAACCTTTGTACAACGTCATCCAAGGTGGGATCCACGTTCTGTAATTGCCCAGAAATTGTGATGTGTGATTACTTGGACATGGGAAGTAGGATTTAGCCTTTTAAAAGTAGTTCCACTGGTATTCTGTACTAAAGTCCATTAAGAACTACTCAGCCTGAAAAGTCAGTTTTTCTGGAAAAAATCAACCGTATTTTGTTTCGTTTTTATTATGATTGTTAAGTGTTGAGGGAAATTGCTCGTCTTATGCTCAGGTGAAGCAAAGAACTACAAAGATGTTGCAGGACATACCAGTATATCATCTGTTTGCACATACACTGACAGCTAACAAGTCTCAGTAAGATGCATAGATCAAAGTGTACAAATTACAATCCTTTAACAACTTACATTTGTATTTTTGAAATACTTCCATGAAGTTGATAATATCTCTGCAAAAAAAATAGATGCTGCTCTTTATTCGGTTCTTTGCTTTATTAGATACTAGGGTCTAGATTTCATTATCAAATATTCTAACATTTACATTAGTACTATTTTAAATTTGATTAATATGGAGGAAAACGTTCATTAGATTCATCATTATTTTTATCTGGAAAATGGAAAGAGCTGTCACTTTGTGTTTCATTACCATTTTAATGCTGTTGGCTCTATTCTGCTTAATGTGTGCAGTGCTTTGGGGAGTTGTGGAGGGGAGTTTTTTAGGTTTAAGTGCTAACAATTTTTTTTTCTATAGAGTAAGCACAGTGCTATTTCTGACATGCTTGTTTGTAAATCGGGTTACTTTCAAGCAGTGGCTGGTGGGAAAGCAGACTGCTTTTCCTGAGTGGAGATAATCAAACTGACAAAGTACTTCCATTAAACGTACGACTTCAGAGTTGGTTTATTTTCTTTCTCTAGGTGCACAGCCATACTCTGTCTCTCATCTTAATCAATCCCGCCACTGCTGTACTTGCCTTATGCTCTCCTCTCTGGAGTTGTTCCAGTTCTGCCTCTGCTCTTTCCTCTGAAAGAGAAAATGATCTGCTCAACTGAATGCTTTTTAGATTTCTGCTTTTATGACCTAGCCCTGAGCTTTGTTGCACAAATGTATTAGTCTACTACTTTTGTGACCAGATTAGGGATTTGAGTCTCAAATGAGAGACAGCAGACCCCGCAGTCATCTTTTATTTAGCAGTTGCTTCCTACCAGCTGAAACAATACTGCCTGTGTGAGGTATTTCCTTCATGGTGTCGAGGATAAAGTCAAACAGGTTCACTTAAACTACAGATATTTTAAGACATCCTGTTTGATTTTTGAACTGAAGCAGAGGATAAGAAAGGAATAAACCCTAGTCTTTACTGGAAGGCAGCTCCTAGCCTAGTACCGCATACTTCCATGTACTCAGACTGACACCCCAGCTCTCTGGTGAGGCAGACCTCTCTGTGGGCCAGACAGGTTTGGAGGGCCTGGCTGCCTGGGATCTGTAATCCAGGCTAAGGCTCACTTGTGGACAGACAGCAGTGCTCTGGCTAAGTGTACAGCATGGATGTAACCTCAGAGGTCAGGTTACGTGACAAACGCAGCACGGAAATTTTACCTTCTAGCATTTCGGCATATGCTCCTTGCTGCTACTGCAGTTTTGGATTTGGAATTTGCTTTAGATCTCCTCTAAGTAGCTGTTCACCCATCTATATGTGAACACGAATGCCATTTTTTTTAAATTGTTGAGTATTCAGCTTACGTTGCTGAATCTGAAACGTTCTGTTTGATCAGTTGATGAAAACCTAGTTCTTGTTTCTTTTCAATTTGAACATGATAAATTTTGGCATAAATACTTATTTTAAAAGCCCTTACATGGATTTTCTGAGTAAGCTGTCTACCTCTAAACACTCTAATTATATCACATCACAATTTGTTGATCTTTATTGAGAAAGATTTTAGCTTGTCATTCTGGGAGAAAAAGTTGCAATTGATCCAACTGATGGAAGGCTGAAAGTCTAACTGAAATGACATTGGCATAAGTGGTGGGGTTTTCTGTACATTTTTTTCTCTGTGTGTGCATGTCTAACTGCACTATTGTGAAATTGCTTTGTTGCAACTTCTACTACTGTAACTGTGCCACCTACCTCCCATGCCACCTGTGCAACCTGTTTTTCGTGGAGCTAGGAAAGGCAGGGGGAATACGATACAAGTTTTGAACTGCAAGTGTAACTGTCAGAACTGAAGAAATTAAATTCTGACGTTTTTTGGAAATGGTTGTGTATAAAATGTGTGTTTGTACAGTATAAAGACTTCATTAGCAAATTGCTAAATATCACGTAGGCTGTTGACAGTTTCCTGACAAGCTGACAACGTCTGCACTTCAGTTTGCAGGACTTGGGTTTAAAGTGAGTTGTTGCAGATGCCTCATACTGGATGAATCAGAATCATTAGGGTTGGAAAAGACCTCCAAGATCATCAGGTTCAACCACCCCCTACCGCCACTGTCACCTACTGAACCATGTCCCTAAGCACCACGTCCAACCTTTCATTAAGCACCCCCAGGGATGGTGATTCAATCATCTACCTGTGCAGCCCGTCCCAGTGCTTGACTGCTCTTTCTGAGAAGAAATGCGTCCTCATTTCCAACCTAAACCTACCCTGGCGCAACTTGAGGCCATTCCCTCTAGTCCTATCACTAGTTACTGTGAGAAGAGGCTGACCCCCAGCTCTCCACACCTTCCTTTCAGATAGTTGTAGAGAGCAATGAGGCTTCTCCAGACCAAACGCCCCCAGTTCCCTCAGCCATTCCTCACAGGACTTGTGTTCCAGGCCCATCACCAGCTTCGTAGCCCTTCTCTGGATACACTCCAGGGCCTCGATGTCCTTCTTGCAGTGAGGGGCCCAAAATTGAACACAGCACTCCAGGTGCGGCCTCACCAGAGCAGAATACAAGGGGACGGTCACCTCCCTGCTCCTGCTGGCTGCACTATTCCTGATACAAGCCAGGATGCTGTTGGCCTTCTTGGCCACCTGGGCACACTGCTGGCTCATGTTCAGGCGAGCATCGACCAACACCTCCAGACCCCTTTCCTCTGGGCCCTTTAGGCCCAGCCTTCCAGCCCATTTTTATCCCAGCAAAGCATGTAGCTGTCCAAGCCGTGTGCTGCCAGTTTCTCCAGGAGAACACTGTGGGAGACTGTGTCAAGGCCTTGCTGAAGTCTAGGTAGACTACATCAACAGCCTTCCCCTCATCCACTGGGCAGGTCACCCGGTCATAGAAAGAGGCGAGGTTGGTCAGTCAGGAGTTGCCTTTCATGAACTCATGCTGACTGGACTTGAATGGTGGTAATGAAGTTCCTGGGGTTGTCAGGTCACTTATTTCTGTTCTGGGACACCTTTTCTGCACTGTGTAGTCAAGTGGATTGGGAAACTAGTCTAGCTGAAATATACTTACAAGATTCCACTTTTCCCTTTTTTTTTTTTTTTTTTTTTTCTGTCTGGGACAGTTTACTGTCACACTGTAGAGAGAGCATTGTCAGTAGGAGGCAATACAAGACTGGGAACAAAGCTCACTTTATTAAAAAAAATAATAATAAATGTAGCCCTCCTTCTTCTATACTGGATATCTGCTTTTACTATGCTAACTTTTCATCCAGCAGCCTAAAGTGTTGCATAGCTTCTAGCGAATGTGATAGGAGCTGGAAATTTGATTTTTATCAGATTTGTAGTGTGAATTTACCTGGTATAAATGATTATAGGATTACAGCCTTAGCAATGTGGAGGTCTGAGAGGTACAAAGGAATCTGCTCCTGTGGGTGGCATGATCTGAATCAAGTCAGGGCAGTGGTGGGGATGATGAGAGCCGGGAACAACAGCTATGAATTGCTCTCGACAGGCCAGGTTTTTGCCATCAATTTTGTCTTATCTAAGGGTGAGTTTCCATGGGAGGACTGAGCCATCTGATAGCTCACTGCTGCAGGAAGCGGCTCTTCTGCTCTTCTTTTCAACTTTTCTACCTCCCTTTTCCAGCTGTGCTGCCCAATTTGTTATTTACTGCTTTGGGAGAAATAGCTAATGGGATTTTTTTTATTTTTTTTTCTTTCCCTGAGCTAAAAGTGAGAGCGAATGGACAACTTTCTTCCATTTAACAAACACTACACAGTTGTGACAACTCCCCTCTTCCCACCATCCATTTTCTTCCTATGCTCCATCAGTGTTCTGATTTCAACTTTCACTTATGAACAGCAGCAGTATTCAAAGGGAAGGACAAGGCAGAATGGGAAGAGAATGATTTTTTGTACTGCCCTTCCTCCTTCCCAATTGCTTCCCAATCACTTCAACCTCACTGTCACAAATCTTCATTTTTTTTTCTGGTGAAAAATATATATTAATATAAAAAGGTCTGAAATGTTAAGAAGAGTATGTTGTATGGAGGCAGAGGATTGTGTAGAGTGTCCTATACAAAGTACATGTATGATGCAAGAACATTTTAGGTCTATTGCTTGTGGTTCTTGGCCTGGTGTTTGAAGCCTTCCAGTTAATTTTTGTTGGTACTGCTTCTACAAGACATCACAGAACTCAGTGCAGAGTGGATCAGAGCCACATCTGCCTTGCACCTCAGTACAAAAGCTTCCTGTGAAGGTTTAGAGAGAGAGCTGTGTGTCAACAAATTCTCACTCCTAGAGACACAATTTTATATCATGATTATTACTACTACTGAACATCACTACCCCAAATGCAAAATTAAGTTCATTTAATATAAAGAATATATTCAAAAATATATTTTAAAATAAAGTATTTCTGAGACATAACTGAAAAAAACACAATACCTTACTTTTTCTAAACTTCTTGT